ATTCTACCTTACAAATCTGGCTAGACCAGAGGATGTACACTGGTACAGATAGGAACTGGAAACACAGGGAATCCAGGGTGGATGCGTTCTTCAGGACCAGTGGTGTGAGTGGCGATACTGGGAAGGTGGAGGGAGGGTGGGTTGGAAAGGGGGAACCGATTACAAGGATCTACATGTGACTTCCTCCCTGGGGAACGGACAACAGAAAAGTGGGTGAAGGGAGACGTCGGACAGGGCAAGATATGACAAAATAATAGTTTATAAATTACCAAGGGTTCATGAGGGAGGAGGGAGCGAGGAGGAAGGGGAAAAATGAGGAGCTGATGCCAGGGGGCTTAGGTAGAGAGCAAATGTTTTGAGAATGATGAGGGCAATGAATGTACAAATGTGCTTGACACAATTGATGTGTGTATGGATTGTGATAAGAGTTGTATGAGCCCCTAATAAAACGATTAAAAAAAAAAAGAAGAAACAGGGACATCAATCAGCTTGCTCGCTTGGGACACGTCATCGGGAAAAGACCAAACACTAGGAAAGGCCATTATGGTTGGGAACACCCCGATTTTAGATGCATGTGAAAATGGAAGACGGAAGAAGGGAAGACCAAAGATGGATCGATGCCTTTGAACGGCGGAGCCAGCATCGACCGCTGGACGCACTTGGACTTGACAGGAGAACCAACCAGATCCGTCTTGGACGGAGAACAAACAGGGAAGGGGACACTTTGTCTCACCCACTTTGGACACGTCGTCAAGGAAGACCCAGGGCATCGTTCTGGTAAAGTTGAAGGGCAGCAAGAACGAGGCAGGCCCTTGATGGAAGAGATGGTTGCACACAGTGACTGCAACAACGGGCCCAGGGTACCAATTATGAACATGGCTCGGGACCGGGCAGGGTTTCATTCTGCTGTGCCCAGGGTCACGATGAATCAGAGCCGACTTGAGGGCCCCTAACAACTACAGTGACTGACCCAACAGGCTCAACGATGACCTCGGACGGACCAACCGTCATGCAGACAGCGAAGGTCTGGGCGACGCTTGGATCCGTGGATGGGAGGTCGCCACAGGTGGAGCTCACTCTGCAACCAACAAGACCCTGGGAAAGGTGACCGTCACCTCTTTGGACCACAGCCCTGTGGGGCCTTTATATAAGGCCGCATTCCACAAGGACAAGCCCACCTCAGGTGCTCCCGTCAGAGCTGACCATTCTCTCACGCGTCCCCCCACGCCAGCTACGAGGCCCACTCCCAGCCCCTCCTCACCGGGCAGTCCACTGCAAGAGCTGGTCTCCCTGTGACGTTCACATCCTCCCAGGGACCGGTCCCAGGGAAAAGGGGAAGGAACATGTTCATGACAGTCTCCACAGGTTGGGCCCAGCAAGGAACATGGGGGGGTCTCCTTGGCGGGGCCCCTCTCCCGGAGCCCTTTGGAGGCAGCAGCTGTGGTGCTGGGAACCCAGCATCCATTTCTGTCGATCACAGCACAGAGGGTCCCCACAATGGCCATTCTTGCATGGAGTCTCTCCAGCAGCTGCCCAGGAAGAGTGGACTCTACTTCCTGTTGCCACAGCTCCACTAAGCACGCTGGGCAAGGCCTGTTCCCATCGTTTAGGAGCATGATCGTCTTCCAGGATTAAGAACTGCTGGGAGAGTCAGGCCTCCGGGGTGAGAGCGAGCAGAAGCTGACCCTCTAGCTGTTTCTCCATGGAGGGCCCACCACCCCCATTTTGACCGGAAGGCACGAAGCTGCAGCTCAGACCCAAACACCAGCCTCATTCTTAAGGCCACTTCCTTCCTGGCCACGCCCCGAGCAGGGCTCGCGGGTGCTTCCTTAAATGAGTTCAGCTGCATACGCCCACACGGTGTGTAGTGAGTGTTATGTGTAGCTAAGACTTGGGGCTTATGTTTCTTCACTGCAGAACCAGGAGGGGCCGCAGCAAGAGAGCGCCAGCCAGCACCACTGGGATGAGTCCTCTTGGGAAGCCACAGGAAGCCAAGCCAAGAGCCTGATGCCTGCACCCAGAGAAGCTCTGGCTCTCTTCTCTGGAGTTCCCAAACTGGAATCCTTGGTCCAAGACTTAAGAGCCTTCGGGAAGGCAACGCCACAAGAGGGATCTATTTAGCATGTCAAGGAAAGAGCCAGGAGAGGAGAAATACACTAGCAGCCGCGCTGTCAACCCTTGGGATGCGCTTGCCAGGAAAGCCTTGCTCCTGAGACCCTCCAAACACAAACCTCTCTCAGAGGCTCAGCCCAGTGGGCCCCAGGAGCGGCTGCCCGCCCAGGTCTGGCTCTCAGCAGCATCCTCCTGATTTGGAAAGGCTAACAAAGTGGAACCGGGTCAATGACACTGACCGCCTGATCCATCCTTCTGTCTAAACTGGGACGCTCTCGTTTACGATGGAGTCAGTTCCTGTCCGTCAGAGGACAGGCTCCTGCAGGCCAGAGGGAATCTGTAGCGTGCTGGGATATTACTGGGAGAGCTGGCAGAATCTTCATGCGCGTCATCCAGCATCTCCGATCATCGGAGAAGGCCAAAGTGGGGAAATCAAATGGAGAAGAGTAGATGGAATTCCTGGCTCTGCCTTCACCACCCGTCCATCCACACCTCGGGTCATGAGACTGTGCAGCGCTTCCTACCAGAGGCAGCCTGTCCTGCCCACCCCTTGGCCTTGGGCGAGGCTACCTGACTTGCTTCCTCCATTGGGAGGGCAGCAGAAGTGGCCTCTTGGAGGCTGGCAGGACTCAGGCCTGACTGGGATGACCTCTGTCTCTGCCTCTGTCCTGAGGAGTGCACTCCCCGACAGCCTGCAGGTCTCAGGAAAAGGAGGCGGAGGAAGAGGAGGGCCTGGATCCCAGAGACCAGGACGGCTCCGTTTAGCCTATCACAGCAGACCTTCTGATACTTGGCAATACAGGTACACAGGTACCCTGAATGACGCAGGAAATCCCCTGGTAACCAAGCGTGGAACCAAACAACAACAACAAGAACAACGACCACTGCCCCAGAGTCATTCAAACCCACAATGACGCTACAGCTCCCTCGGCTGTAAATCTTCACGGGCATAAGAAGCCTCATCTTTCTCCAGAGGGGTGGCTGGCAGATTTAAACTGTCGACCTTGCATGTCATGA